ATCATATTCATAGTTAATCACATTAACTCAATTATACAACCGCAACACGTATCTTTTTGATTCCTGACGTATAATAATCCAACACAGTAGACCAAATAGTATTTTTTGTAAAGCGATTCTTATAAAATTAGTCTTTTCCTTTCCAAGACATTGATTATGGGGGATACAACTATGTGGTTAACACAAATGTGGACTCATTTCATGTAGCCTGTATGTTAATAATGTCGAATACATAATTCTGTGTATGCATTGAGCGAATGAAATATTAAACCTTTATACTTGGTTTAATATTTCATCCACTCAATGCGTACACAGAAAAAAATTATTCATTCGACATTATTAACGTATAGGCTAGATGAAATGAATCTACATGAATCCAATAGATTGTGAAACTAATTTTATAAGTTTAGCGCAGGTAACGAGTAAACTATTTAATGACTTAGTTTATATGAAAGCTAGAATCATCTTAATAATCAAATGGATCTATGGAGTCCCGGAAGGTAATTTCCTTTTAGAACAACACATATAAGCGAACAATTGTTTTCAATTAGATCGTCATCAGGCTTTACTCTAATATATATGAATATCTATACGAAAATGTTAAACCAATCAAGGCAATTTGATTCACCACACATAATAGGTAAAAGTACAAGTTGGTAGTAGGAAGATAGGTGTATTAATAGTAGTAAGAATAATAAAATACGATAATAAAAGTCTTATCAATAGTTAAACGTTGGAAATAGAAGGTCAAACGTGGGTAAATAGACTTGGAATAGTCAACACAAAACATTAAAATCATTACGTAATAAGAAGTGTGTAAATAATTAGATAGTGAAGAATACAAACGGCAAGAGGCGGAAAATTACAAACAAATAAAGGATGTGAAAATAAGGCTAATGATAACAGAAATAGAATAAAATAAACAAATTATAATAATTTTAAAAAATCGTTAGTTAAGTTGCAACTGGTCATGGGAGGGATAGGGGGGTTACGAATTTCTTCAGTACATATAGATTAGGGTTATATGTACGAATTCCTATGGCTTCAGCTATATGTAGGAGGCGCGAACGAACTCCGTTGGGAAATGATGAAGCTATATGATAGATCACTCGAAATGATTTCCATTTATCTACAGCATGAACGCTATCAATGAGATTATTATTATTAGAAGCTTTATTCAACATTATATTTTTGGTACAACATAGAACTCTTAGCATAAAGTATTTCAACAAGTTTCCTTTTCTTATTTCTTGATCGATTGTGACGATAAATTTTGAATGATGACCAGTTAAATGTTAGGAGCTCGGTTATCCACATTTGATTAATGTTCATTCGTTTCAATGCATATTGCCAGCCACCATGATGTCGCTGATTGTACCTTTTTGTATCCCGTATAGCGAAAGGTTGTAAACTTTTCATAAACGCGCCTGAATAAATTGTGCGCACAATAGACATAATGATGTGCTAAAGCAAACAACAAAACAGATAACTTGATGAAATATCTAGATGGGAGAAACAGGTAGCTCAGATATTCAAGCAGGCCGCCACATACCCAAGATAGAACTGCGAATTGTTTTTATCTGGCCCTTTATAAACCACGCTGGTAGATTTCCTTTTAGTTCACAATTATTTTTTCGATGTGAATCCATAACGCCATACTTCAATAAAATGTTGGTCTTAGTTATTGAGTTAATATTTGGCTCTCACCTTTCGCAATCTTAACATTTAGCTAAGTGGGACATTTATGAAGTATATAAACATTTCCTACCTGAAGATATACTTGTTGAACGGGTAGAGAGAGATGGAACAGTTCTGCTTGGTAAGGAAACTGACAAAATTGAGAATCGTTTAAAAACCTTCAGTAACAGAGTAATATTTTTTAGAACAACATTATATATCTACAAATCCAACATAGTTCTGTAATAATTCATAATGCATCCACAGTAAGTGATGTAATCGAGCGGGTTCAGTAGTGCAATTAAGGTAGAGGTTTCATCGAAACATGGTGTATTTTACATGATGAAATCTAGGTAGAAATACAAAACGTTTACTTGGCTTTTATCAGCTTGTACTACCTGAGGAGTATGTGAGATTTTTATCGCCTTTTCAAAATGTACTGAGCATCCCTACACGTTGTACAGTTGTTCATCTATGAAACAGTTTATAAAATAAGATTTATGTAAATTTAGTGTATTTGATGTATGTATTTTGAAGCATTTCTCATTTTTAATGCAGTTATTATACAGATAAAACTAACACTAGGCCCAGGGTTCTAAGTAGAAATGATGAGCTTATTAATAAAGCTAAAAGCCTCCAACAATTGAACTTCCTACACACGCTTGGGCATTATTCATTTTATTGTGCAATACTGCTCGATATTGGATTGGATTGCAGAAAACGGTCGAAGAGTGCTTAGATTTAGACTTGACATAACCACATGAAATTAGAGGAATAAAATGTGGGCATGTTGGGAAATATAGTCCTACTATTTAAGGTCAACACAATTTATGGCCGGACAAGCTGGATGACATAGGTTAAGTCGGCCGCAATAGGTCAAAGCAACAGATCTATTTTTTCAGATAACAAACTAGTTTTATTCTATACTTTTTAATTCTGTCTAATTTATTACCTTTAAATTAGATATTTTTCACTAGGTTTTTCAATATACTTGATACTTTTTTAAACTTCATATGCTCCTGTCCTAGTCACTTTCCACTCTTATGTGCTGGCTAGTGATGTAAACAAACAAAAATTTGGGTCAATGTTTATTTTATTTACAACTTACTGATGAACACTGATATGCATTATCAGTTTGAAGATCTTTCGGATCACTCCTTCTTTACTATAATCCATCATAAACCGATACATTACCATTATTATCTATGCAATGGCTTAAAACATTTAACAAATTAAAGATTTTAATAGTTGAATTCATGAGTCGATCTAATGTAGAACACCGTTAAGAACCTGGAAGAACTGAACGGCTGCTTCATCCTAGTATTGGACTTCTCAGCAGTGCCCATCCATGATCCCGCGTGCGGGACTCGCACCCAGAAACCTCGGTCTCGCGCACACACCCTTAACCTCGAGTGCGAAATCGTGGATGCACGCTGCTGAAGAGTCCCATACTAGGATGAAACGAACATCCAGTGCTCCCAGGTTTCCTAAGGTAGTTCAGCTCAAATCGACTCATAGATCCAACCATTAATTTACTACAATTTCCACAAACCCTCATTCTGAAAATTAAAGAATAACTAGCTAATTATGTAGCCACTTAACCACTGCGTAGTGGAGAGTGTCTTACAAATAAATCATTTCCAATATGAAAATTAATCAACTTTTGATAATGTAATCACTACTTTAAGTTCCCTTAATCTATATAAAAGTACTCAGTTGAGCATCTACTTTATCAAACTACATTCCTTAGCTCATATAGATTTCTATGAACTATAGTAAAACCATTGGATATTTGCTATTTTCTTTCTCCTCACATGTATATATGTAATTTAAGTTCTATAATGGTTAACTTTGGGAGTATATATATATTACATTTGTCTTAATTATTGTTGAAATCGACAATTGACTTTAGCAATTCATTCATTCTTCATTAATTTTAATTTAGTCAACAGTGATCGATAGTGCACAGGTTGGGACACATTTTTGTTAACCTAAGTTGTTATACCAAATCAGTATAACAAGAGGAAATGAATATATAATGAATAAATCAAAATAACCTTAGAAAAAATAATCATAATTGAAAAGACTAAACATTGAGAATATGATTCGAGAACATGCAATGAAAAAGGTAAACGAATAGTGACATTCAAAGTCAAGAGTAAGATAAAGAATGAATTCGTCCACGTCATTATGAAAGGTTTTAAATCATATTTTAGCTGATATCTCAAATTATAAGCAACATTTACTGTATGGACTCCAATCAAAATAGTCTATATTTATCAAAACAGCTTAGACTATGAGTTAAGTACTTCATGGATAAATGATAAGTCTTAGTTAAACTATCTTTAGCTTTCACTGAAATTACTCCTATGCCAGTTAACATTATATGTCAAAATAAGTAATAGTAATTAAACGTATATAGAATATCAGATGGGCTTTGTGGATATTATAGTAACTTCAATGGTTAAGACCACCATGGAAAACCTGGAAGCACTGGACGTCTGTTTCGTCCTATTGTGGGACTCCTCAGAAGTGCGCATCCACGAACTCGCCCCTTGGGAGATTCGAACCCAGGACCTACTGGTTTCGTGCGCAAGCATTTAACCACTAGACCACTGAGATAGCCGGCGTCCTACGGTGTTAACGTCTAACTTTAACTAATCCACGAAATTGAGCGACACATCCACCATTGTCTTCAGTGAGTTACTATTTCACAATAGAGGAGTTCCACAATAGGACGAAGCAGCCGTCTAGTGCTTCCAAGTTTTCCATATTGGTCTAGCTTCAACTAACTCATGATCTTAGCCATTGAAAATATATAAAATACTTTGCTTATGATTTCTTATCTATTACTGTTAGTTATGTAATAATTATACAAGATAAACACAATGAAATTCAATGAAATCTATTTCATTCATTCATAAAAATTAATTAAAAACAAAATATTAATTACAAAAAATAGTAATAAATCAATAAACTTCATTTATACAAAGCATAGTACATGTAAAATAGAATAGAACTTTATCAAGTACCTGAATTAGAAATGGATTAAGCGTTAAGAAAGAAAAATATACTATGATCAAGTTGTTTATCTTATAAAGATGAAGACAAGTTTCCTCTTCTTTTCTTTTCTTTTTTTTCAAAAGAAAATTGGATTTTAAAAATAGAAGAAAAACAAAATACAACCTAAAAGTTGAAAATCAATCAGAGCAAGGAAAAGAGGAAAGATATATCTATATCTATATATGAAATAGATGATCTGTTTCATTTGCATATAAAACTAATATTTCCATTAGTATTATTGTGTTACTTCTACTTTAAGATTACGCTTTTTCAGATTTGTTTGGTTTCTCTGATGATGACTGTGATGAAGGAGTTACTGATGATGATGACGATGAGGAGGATGCTGTTGTTGATGATGTTGATGATGGATATAAACACCAATGTTGTACCATGAATAAAATATCAAATCCAATCGATAAAATACCTAATCCAAGTTTGATTGGTGATCCAGTTATACTACTAACATCATCTGTATGTATTAATAAAATGATATAAATAAAAAGCATAGGTTTATAATATCATCTCATCATATAACTAAGTATAATCATCATTTATACATAATATTTATAAATGAAAAATAGTAACAGGGTAGAGAACAGAATTAACATGTTTAATATGAACAAATTCAATAAATCGATCTATGTCGTATACAAATCTGAAATGAAATAAAACATTTACATATTCGGATAGAATCACCATGATAAGACAAACTGATGTCTAAAGTATAATGTTTATTTAATGGTTTCAACTTGTGTGATTAGTCTGTTATAAAAATTCTAAATTAGTAAGCTAATTAGTGATAAGTTTCACAGATGAATTGACATACACAAAAAAAAGCTTCGTTACCATACAATCTGTAATAAAGTGAAATCACTAACATCTGCTGATTAATGAAAACAGTATCTGATTGATAATTAGTCAGAAGACATAAACTATTTTTAATGCATGAATAGCGCCTACGATACTAAAATGATACATACACTATCATATATAACAAATCAGTTCTGTTTGTATCATCGTGTGTATAATATTATGTAATTAGTTAATACAACTTTTGTAACATATTCAAAAATATACACAAAGATATTTTGTTAGAAAAATAAGTACTTGATAATATCATATCACTTAATGTAGTGTATTCACTCATTGACTGAGAATAAATATTTGACATACCTAATCCCAGAATATGTTCTCAGATTGAGGTTGTGGAGATTGCTGAGCTACAAATGAGATCACGAAAATCTCTAAGCACTGGACAGCCATTTCTTTTGAATCCCGCGTGCGGGTTCATGGGTGCACACTGCTGAGGAGTCCTATGCTATGACAAAAAGGCTATCCAGTGCTTTCAGATTTTTAATGGTGATCTAGCACTGATCGTTTCATGATTGCAATTGAAACACCAGAATATAATTACAATAGAAAAATAAATGTATCACTTATATAAAATAATTATCCCTTACCCGTATTGTATCCTATAATCAACATTTGTGCAATGCTTAGAATCCCTCCAGTGAAATCTAATATAATATTACCTATACTCCAACCAACTGTACTCCTGCGACGAAAATTCATTAAAGCCTAGATTTATGTTTATAAATGTTAAAAAAAAGAAAGAAGCATAAAATACATTTATATTAGATTTCTTCGCAATCGACAATAAATAAGCTTTGATTTCACAACCCAAATACTTATATATTTTTAAAACACGAAGTTCAACGAAGGAATCTCTTTTCAACGAATTTATTATCAAGCTGTACAATCGTATATATATGAAAAATTTTTGTTTTTGGAAAAGTACTAATTCCGTGAGGAAATGTGAACCAAAATAATTAAGGCCAAGGTAACGATAACAATAAGACGTACTTCTTTTGGACGCATAGTTCTGGTTTAAGCTCCTGGATGGTAAGAGCTTCGGCTATTTTTAAAAGTTGGATGCGAAGAAATCTGGGTAGATTTGAACGAATCATATAAACAACCTTAAATTTATTTTTTGGATCTGTGGAATGGTTACAGTCGATTAGGTGTTCAAGTATAGAACTCCTAACTGCTTTCCTTTCACCCTTATAGAACCAAGCTGGGATATGTTCCCGTATCCGAGTTATATGTTTTTATCATGAATTATTTATATTAAGCAAGTAAACAAACTTTGTCTTACTTTCTTAATAAACCAAATCAAAATAACAGATTCCTGGAAACAAATCACAGAAAATAATATCTACATGATTATCCACTTGAGACAGTTTTTGATAATAAACTCTGTGAAGTAGAAAAAGTGCTCATCTATCAAAGATAATATTAGTGTGGCGAATTGTAGTGGAGATTGCAGTATTTCTACAGTTGAAATCCTTCATACTAATAACAGTCACATTCTCACAAGTGACTAACTTCAAAATGTAACTGCTGAAGTTCTGATGAAGAGCTGTGACCAGTGGAGGGTAATCTGTGTAGGGTGTGAGACTGTTATCCACCACAGGTGATGGATGAAGGCTTATGCATGATCATAAATTGATTGAAGTTAAACACTAAAATTGCTCAGTAGTTTAGAGGTTAAGCGTTTACTCACGAGACTAAGGGTTCTGAGTTCGATTTCCACTTGCGGGACCGTAGCTGAGCATAGCCATTTAGTGGTCTAACTAAGATGAGTTTGTGAGTTCAACTGTAAAAGGTATAATATTATTGCCAATGACTGGACAAAATGATTATAATGACTTGAATAATATTACTGTACTTAACTATAAGAATTCATCATGAAAGGATTGAAAAAACATCAATGTAACATAACTCATTTACCAGGTTTATGTTTTTTGGTATATAACTTTCAGACACATGATTATTGTGAAACCATGTGATACTTTATAATAAGTGCTCAAGATCAAATATGTCAAAAGATGTTCAAATTTACAACTAACAGATTAAATGACTAAAATTGAAACAATCAATTCGTAACTCTCACATCAGACAAACATATATACATTGATCTTTCAATATCAATTAATTAAAGGAATGGATAATAATTATATATTGTCATATTGAAGTTATTTGCGGCAAAATGTTTACAGCAAAATATTTCCTCCTGGAGTCTCTCCGGGGGCTACTGCTGGTCCCAAGCCCGGACAAAGGAGGAGGGTTGGGCATGGAGTTAGCGACCCCATCCTGTAGAAAACTAACTCGCTAAACAAACGCTAACCAGAAAACATTATCAGCAACAACCTCCTGTGGGAAAAAACAAACCAGATCATAGCGAAGGAAGAAATCAGGAAGAAGCACTGGAAGTGGATAAGACACACATTGAGGAAAGCACACAACTGCATCACAAGACAATCCCTCACCTGGAATTTCGAAGGCCAAAGGAGGAGAGGAAGACCAAAGAACACATTACACCGTGAAATGGGAATAGACATGATTAAAATGAACAATAATTGAATGGAACTAGAAAAGAAGGACCAGGACAGAAGGGGTTGGAGAATGCTGGTTGGCACCTATGCTCCATTAGGAGTAACAGGCGTAAGTAATTAAGTAAGTATTGCCTATCTTAATATTTACATATTTATTGAAGCTGACTATATATAACTTCTTTTACATGTAACAGTTTTTTAATCAATAACGTATTTCAATCACTCTATAAGTTAATGTATTTCATTAAGTGATCATCAACTTCCTACTGTTATACACCTTTCAATATGTTTTATTCATAATATTCTATCATATTAAATAGAATTGACATTTTGAAGATTTTAACTATGATTTATAAATATTTGTTACCATGATATATTCAATGTGCTAGCGTTTTTTATTAACTATTAACCGATGTAAATGCGTTTTGTATTCAATACTTTGATTGATCATCCATGGTGCTAACTTTTATTCAGCAGATTGTTATTCCGACGTAGTCGGAAAATGGGTTATATATATATATATATATATATATATATATATATATATATATATATATATATATATATATATATATGGCGTTTTATTAAAATATCTATCAAGCTATAAGACCATATTTTAGCACGATCTGTACTTTGTAATATCTATAAATTGGCTCAGAATCAGATGTGTTTTAACGACACTTTGCTCTTAACCTTTTAAATACAAAGTGTTTAATGATTCATCTAAAAAATATGAATAACTTAAATAAAAATAAATTTCATTTGTTAGATTGAGGTAGGCTTTATACTATAATTATCTGTTGAGAGTATAATTTGTTTGCAAAGTGAGTGAATTGAGTTTTTTTTACTGGGATCATGAATTGATGAATGTTAGACCATCATTGAAAACCTGGAAGCATTGGATGGCCGTTTCGTCCTAGTATGGGACTCCTGAGTAGTATGCATTCACGATCCCGCACACGGGATTCAAACTCAGGACTTTCGTTTTCGTGTGAGGGATCGTGAATGCGTAATACTAGATCGAAACGGCCATGCAATTATTTCAGGTTTTCAATCTCAATCAAAGACTCATCAATCTTCACAATCCCATATTGATAAGTGAATTGATTTTTACTCTCCTTAGCATTCATTTTAAATTCCGTCAAATTCATGAGTATTATATAATCCCAGCAGAGGAAGAAATCAGGAAGAAGCGCTGGAAGTGGATAAGACACACATTGAGGAAAGCACACAACTGAGTCACAAGACAGACCCTCACATAGAATCCGCAACGCCAAAGGAAAGGAGGTAGACCAAAGAACACGTTACTCCGAGAAATGTAGACAGACATAAGAAAAATGAACAAGAATTGCATGGCACTAGAAAAGAAGGCGGAGGACAGAGTGGGTTGGAGAATGCTTGTCGGCGGCCTATACTCCATTAGGAGTAACAGGCGTAAGTAAGTATATGATGCTATTTTTGAATGATGCTCTATTCAATTTTCGAACGTAAAATAAACAATGAATTATAAATTATTATGATCCGATATCTAAATGTTTCATTTATTCATATGTTCATTTCACTATTGAGATGAAATGAAATTTTAAAAATGAAGATTCAAATCAACTAAATCAGTTCAATAAAAGCATCATTTTTTTAAATATCCACTTTCATTTTTTCACCCTTCTGTGTGTATCTGAAACTGACTTACATCTTCAATGGTCAGTTCCCAAGAACACACCACAAATCTCCAAACAAACAAAAATGAAATATATTTACTCATTTTCCACTACAGTGATAACAAACATCTATTTTTATTGTATCTTCCTAATGATTAAAGAATAAGTCAAAAGCCATTAGTCTCAGCGAATGAATTTTGAAGTAAATCAAACGTTTCACTTGGCAATCTGGTCCAAGCTTTTTCAAGGTTCAACGGTTCAAATCAGTTATCTTATCTGAATATGTTAAACAATTGACTGGAACATTAAAATAACCCAAACTTTCAATTACAAATTCTTCCTTTTTGGATTCATTCGTTTATCGTGTTTATTTATCTTCTTTTGATGCATGCTGTGGCATTTTCGATTCATATCATTTCCTTAAAATTCACCGACCAGAGATAATATATAGTGAATGAAATTTCTTCTCACTTACGTATACACACAATCTGCTATCTTAACACTTCGTTTCACACCACATGTCTATTACACACTAATGTAAATACCTACTTTAAACATTGATAACGTTGATTGGATGACCTATTCAGTATACAGTGAACCGGAAAACCGTTTACCTGTTTATATTCGATAATTTTGATGTTTGATTATATTTCCTTGAAATAGCTTGGACCAGTTTGCTAGACGAAACGTTGGATTTACTTCAAAATTCATACGCTGAGATTTTACAATTACATTCTCCCTCTTTTTGATGTCTGACATCAACTCGGCGCCCAAATACTGTGAAACTATTTCATCAAATTTAGACGAAAGTTCTTATTCATTATTATTTATAGTTCATGTTCAGATGAAAGATATTTTGTATTATTACATTCGTCATTGGAGTTATTCTTTTGAATACAAACAATATTATAATAGAAATTGTCTTTATCGATCGATAAACTATTGCATAACTGTATTTCTTTCACATTCACAGATTCCAAAACAAACGTTTCATGATAAATATACCTCATAATAATAATAATAATAATAATAATAATAATAATAATTATTATTATTATTATTATTATTATCCTAAAAACTTAAACAAAACACTATCTCAATAAATTGTTCTACAATTCCTAGATAGACTACTACTACTACTACATTAATGTAAGCGTCATGTGATGAGTACATAAATATACGGTAATTATACTATACAAATTATCAATCAAAATATTATGGTTAAACGTCGACTAGATTACATGACATATTAGTTGAATAATAATGTAACTGTTAAAATGATTCAATCAATGAACAACACTATGATAGATAGTATATAATCTAAAATATGATCAATTACATTAGATTTGTTTACAGTTTGTTGTGTTGCTTTGTTTCTTTGTTGTTGTTTTTTTGTTGTTTTTTTAATTTTGGTGTTCAGCTAAACAGTACTTGTACTTTGATAATGAAATATACAAAACTAAATTGAAGATAATAACTACATTTCAGAATAATATCAATGAAATAGTTTATGTTAATAGAATGGTCTCTTATATAGTAATTGTCTATAATAAGCTATCAAAAACATTGTACATAATTTGACTAATTAAAGCAGACAATCTATGAGTAGTGTTAAAGTGACCTTTAAAAAATATTCACCTACTAACTAGAGATAAAAGAATATTGTAAATTAATGTGATAGATCAAGATTTAGGGTTTAGAGTGGAATATCAAAATTAGGAATGAGAATTGATATTAACTACAATGTCAAAATACTATTTAAGTATATGAAAGTGTGAATTTTGTATCAAACACCAAGACATTTTATCCTAAATCTCATTGATTTGTTTATAACTTAAAATCTCGCCACCATTGACTGGATACATTCCAAGGTCTTGAAGTTTAAATTTATATGTTACAGTATACTTTACAAGTAAAGAAATCAAACTTGAACTAATTTTTACAAGTCTCTCTACAAAACAACTAAAGATTGATAATGTATTAGCCAAGAAAGTTTACGAACCGTTTAGTCAGTCAGTCAGTAACAAAGTAGAACTTAGTACGTACGTACATCAGTTTGAGTTGCCACACCAAATTAGCACAGAAATGCAGTTGTTGATTCGAATCCCATAGTGGTAGAGGTAGTAAGAGTATAAGCAGTAATCGGAAAGATTAGGGTTTCAAGATGTTATTCAAGGAGTATAAGCCAGTGAAATAAATTCGGAAAGAGACATGAAGAGTCCAGAAGATTAGAATTTGGAAGAACACAAAGAGTGGATGCACCTGCGCCATTCCAAACGATTTTGAGCCATGTCATTCAGGGTCTCTAACCATCGGTTGCTATTGTCCCGCGGATCCCAACCAGGTAGTCTACAGTTTAACTGCTACAAGTATATTTCTTTTTGAAGCCATCATATGTGATACATGAATTCCAATGTGTTCGTCTCTCTTATTTGTTACAAGTGATAGACAAAAAGAGGAAACATGCTAACAACTGTTCTGTTTCTTTTTTTAAATTTTGTGCTGCCTTTGTAAAAACAGGAGTTGAAAATTCTTAAAATTGAAAAACATTTGTCAGTCAACACCAAAGTTAGAATTTTTATAACAAAACTAAAGACGGTTTTGTCATACGGAAATGAAACTTTGAAAATTACTACAACTATCATTATTTGAAAACAGTTTTCTACGTAAAATATTCAATATCCATCGGCCAGATACCATCTGTAACAACCTACGGTGGCAGATGACAAATCAGATTCCAGTTGAAGAGGAAATCAAAGAGAGAAGCAGAATGTGGAATAGATAGACATTCGAGAAATTATCAAAAGAATAACTAGCACTTGGCACCGACTGAAAAACAGGGTCCTGGATAGAGTTGGTTAGTGAATCTTAATCGGTAGCCTATGTTTCACGAGGAGTAATAGGTGTCAGTAAGTAGGAAAGTAACTCACAATTGGTGCTTATAATTATCAATTTCATACAAATTGAAGAAAGAAAGATTACTTTTACGATTGAACAATAGGATTATATTTAAATAACAAAGTAAGACATCATATTTATGACTAACAAACTGAATGACTACTGATAGAAGTAACTTTAAATCAACTGAGAAAACTTTCATCAATAAAATTACAAGATAAATATTCCATTAATTTTATTAAATCACATGTTTACTTACCTGAGGTGCATATTTAATGAATGAGATAAATAGTTTAACATAAGATAATAAGTAGAACGTATCTAACCATTCCATGTAATGAACTCCGCCTAATATACAAACAATTATCGTATAGATAATGATTAATATTATTATTCCTATACATGTCTTTGATACACGTTGACCACCACGCTAAAAAGTATAAAAATAATTTCTTTGTTTTAGAAAAATAAAACTAAACTGATTATAATAATGGCAACATTTGAATGACATAATAGTTTTCTGAATAATAGATTACAATATATAATATGAAAATGAATTATTAACATAAAGTTGGTCCAGTGGTCTAGTGGTTAAGCGCTCGTGCGCGAGACTGATAGGTCGTGGGTTCGAATCTCGCTAGAGCCCCCAAATGCTCTGGTACGGACGAGAGTGGGGAAAGTTCGCTCTCCCTCTCGAAATGCTCTCACATGGCCACGCATATATAGCCTATGCCAGGAAAGTCCTACTCACTGGCTTTTCGTGGTAGGGGTGTTGTTTACGAAATTGAGAGGATGGAAAGCGAGTGTTCGGCCCTTTTACCGGGTTGGTGGACATGGAGAGTCCACCTAGGGGAGTTAGGAAGCCCTGATCCCAAACCAATGGTGCACATGAGCTCCAGTATCCTGTAGGGACAAATGGCGTATGAACCAATTGTTGGTCACCGGCTTCCATGGGACTGCATCTCCTTACGATGCTCCACTGCCTTGTGGATCAGACCTTTAGGTCGAAGGCCCCGGGTGTGGCCCCCTAAGAACACCACCTGCTTCGGTTTGGGCACCCGGGCAGCATCACAGCCCTCACACATACTAAATGAGATTTGTGTGGCGCATATGTATTTGGTGCCTTCTTGTACCAATATCTATGCGTTAAAATAAAATAAATAAATAAAAGTGATCGTTATGGAAACATATTATCAATGATAATACATTTATATTTAACTATTTCTCATCAGGTATAACTACAAACTTTAAACAATAGTTTTATAAAGCTTAAATATGAAGAGTAGTGTATCAAATGTAAACTGTTGCTACTTGGTTTAATCTGATATCAAAGAAAAAATTGGCATTTCAAGAAAATTAACAATTGTAGTGTAAATATTTGCTAGTTTTAAGTTTATTTCCATTCTTAGATAGTCTAGATACTTTAAAAGGTTCCAAAATACAAAGAAGGATGCATAGCAGTCTATAACTTTAAGGTATTATTCAAAATAAAGTCAGATTGTAAATGTAGTTAAATATTGAATTATCTGTACAAGAAGCCCATATCTCAATATAGATTGATTTAATTCCGTTTCAAATAATAACAACTGGTTATTTAATATAAACTCTCTTAACTATTATATTATTATTTGAATAAGAAGACGTGTTTAAAGAACAATGATCATGGATCATATTAACTTGTGTCATTTTCAAAGATTTATTCACTGAAATTCATTAATCACTGAGTAGTGACAAATCTGATGTTTTTTCCAGCTCTTAGAGCTAAACGACCTCTATTAATATTCTCTGATATTGCTTACTACTCAATGATCAATTATATGTAAATATTTCAGTAAAACAGGCGATCAGTCTTCAACTATGACACTAGTTAATATCCATTCAAATTCACCTTCAAGATTACGAGTACAATTATTTACCAGGATGAAACCTTGACCCATGCTTTTCTGTTAATCATATCTAACCGCTTAGTATTATTTTCACTGATCAGTGATAATGTTTTCTTCCAAACAAATAGCATATAGATTTCACAAGTGATTGATCACGGGGTGATGCTATCGATCTGCATTAAGGACTTGATACACATGATATTGGTCACCAACCAGTGATTAATCAATTGTGACTACATCTCAGTCTTACAGGAGGTCGGTCAAGGCCCGGATAGCCTAGTGGTAACGTCTCTGACTGTGAAGGTGGGTGACACTGGATCGAGTCAGTCAGGGAGCACCAGCTCCCTCAAGATTACAGGTACACCTTGCTGACGAGTGCCAAGTAGCACGAAACCCGGGTCCAAGGGTTTCCTGTTGAATACCTCCAACAACCATCTTAACATGTAGATTTATTAATACATTTTTTAAACTTATTTGTTCTACTGAATTCTATATCATTTGCGGTACTTTACTAAGAACAATCGATCATTTTAACCGTATACTAAAGAGTAAGAAAACATAAATGTCATGTATACATTTTCATGATCAATTATTAAAAATCAGTAAAATTCGATCAAAACGAAAACTTTATTCTTTGTAAAGAAGAATTTAGATTAACGAACTAGAAATCGGAGCTTGAATTATCTCATAATTAGTTTTTTTTTGTTCTTTTGCTTTATGTCAACATGTTGATGGCAACGTTGAAAATAAGGAGAAAAAAATAGATTATTTATCAAAATCAGACACCTTTGAACCCTTCTATTTGAAAATTCACAAACAGAAGATCATCTACAGATACTTTAGACTTTACTATTTTAAACTTATTTGACGTAAATAAATTTATTGAACCATATAATCAGAGATGAATAGTGGTTATCAATGAAATTCAGGACACATGTTCTGTTCCATTTTGAATTTGTTGGTTTGATTTCCCTGTATCTTAGAGTTAATGTTTGCTCTAAGACTTGAACCCAATACCATTCACTTCAAACGTTATCATGTTATATACTTGTGATTTATTAAACTTTGACTATAAAAATAAAATGAATAATCACTTTGATAGTAATAATCTCTTTCCCCCCCCCCTATCATCAGATTATGATTTCAAAGTTATGTAATCGAATGTTTTCTCTATATATGTTTTTTCATATTTCATGTAACAATCAATTTGAGAAGAATGTTTATCTCGATGATACACCACAGTGATAATAACAATAATAATAGAGATCTTGTACATGACATTTCAAATAAACAATAAGAAACATTCAAGTTATTCATATACATAACAAAGTACCGATCATTTTCATATAGATATTTACAAAAATATTATTACAGTTAAAATTATGTATTCAATATATGACATCTAATAGTCATATTATTCAGAATATAAATGAACTTGATCTTACATAAATGTTATGTAATAGACAAATAATAATGATGACAATTTGTATGGCATACCAAATCATATTTAAAGAAGATGAAGAAGACGTATTTTGACTTATTTTAAAATTTAATATAGTTGAATTTATGAAATGATTCCAGCTAAATGAATCATAGGAAACCTAGAAACACTGGATGATCATTTTATCCTTAGATCGATTCATGAATTCAACTATTAAAATTACTACAATCTTCACAAATCTTCCATTCTGATAATAATTATCATGTACTTATTAGTAAGTAAATTCAAGATGTAACTTCTGGAATTCTAATGAGAAGCCGTGACAAGTAGAGTTCAACTCGTGTCGAGTGAAGATAGTTATCCACTTCAGACAATGGATGAAGAGTTGCACAACATTTCATGGATCAATTAAAACTAGACATTAACACTGTCAGGCGCCGGTTCAATGGTCTTGAGGTTAGACGTTTATGTGAGAGAAAGGAGATCCTGTGGATGTACACTACTGACGAGACGAAATGGTCGTACAATGCTTCTGGGTTTTCAGCGGTGGTCTAAGTCAGATCGACTAATCAATTCAACTATTAAAATTACTGCAATGTCCACAAACCCGCATTCTGATATTTTGAAATTGTCAAATATATTATAAGTATACATTTTGCTAAATTAGCAGTTGATCAACATGTTAAAGTTGAATTTTTGACTGATGGAAACAGTTTCATTTACTGTTAAAACTACACAGCAGTAGTATCTCGAAGTAGGATTTCATCCTTATTTGGAACTCCTTAAACGGATGTCTTTGAATGCCAGTATCTATACAGAAACTTAAACCCACTAACTTTCTCTTTAAAAGATAACATAATATCTGTTGAGATACTTAGACTAAATAGCCACTAGCTTATTCAGTGGTTATGAGTTTTATTTAGTGTTCAAAATAGAAGGTACTAGGTTCGAGTCTCATTAAAAACATAAATACTAGAATGTAGATATATTCAGCTGACGAGTTCTAAACTGAGAGAATGGCATATCTTTGACTTTGCTGCAAACCAGTATCCGATGGTAATAAAAACTCGTAACTAAATGTCAATATCAAGTCGTTTTGTCCAAGATCCATATATACCAATAGAGGTTGATCAGTTACAATCCTTAATATCAATAATGGCAAAATATAAACCCTTCGAAATTCAACACATTTATACTTCATCTATTTTTTGCTGAAAACTTCACAAGTATTAAGGTGTGTTAATATTGTGTTCAAAACTGCTACCGAGTTAAAAATAAATTATAGTTCGACTTCGTCAGAATTCTCTTGGGGGACAAATGAAATGAAAACTCATATTTATTAATGACTATTATAAAAATTTGACTGACGGAAATTGAATGTAATAATAAGATCAGACTAATTAAAACTACTCTGATCTTAACCTAATTCATCGGCAAATCTATGAAACAAGAATGTATTTCAATTAGTTAAAAAAGTCTCCACAATAAAAAAATAATAGTATAGGGGTTGTGGAGATTATTAAGTTTTTGATTGAGATCATAAACTGATTGATGTTAGATCACCACAATTGAAAACCTGGAAGCACTGGACGGCCGTTTCGTCCTATTGTGGGACTCCTCAGCAGTGCGCATCCACGATCCCGCTCGCGGGGCTCGAACCCAGGGCCTTCGGTCTCGCGCGCGAACGCTTAACCAACTAGACCACTGAGCCGGCATCCAATAATCTCTACAACCCCTCTATTAGTAATCAACATGTGCTCACGAGTGACTAGCTTCGTGAGGAAATTCTCGGAGTTCTGGTGAGAAACCGTGACCAGTGGAGCTAATCCTTGTCGGGTAGAGACAGGTATCTACCTCAGTACGACGGAAGTTGGTCGCGCAATTTCGTGGATTGGTTGATGTTAGAAAATATCACCATTGGATGCCGGCTCAGTGGTCTAGTTGGTTAAGCGTTCGCGCGCGAGACCGAAGGCCCTGGGTTCGAATCCCGAGAGCGGGACAGTGGATGCGCACTGCTGAGGAGTCCCACAATAGGACGAAACGGCCGTCCAGTGCTTCCAGGTTTTCAATTGTGGTGGTCTAACATCAATCGGTTCATGATCTCAATCAAAAAAAATACTGACTGAACTTACCTCATAACATAATATTTGTAAAGCTGTTAATAAAGAAATTAGAAATGCATGAAATGCAAATGCCAAATCATTCTCTAGTACTGGTACTGATCCCAAAGGATTTCTTTGCAAATATTGATCCTGTATAAAAAAAATTTATGATTATAAAATCATAATAATTCAGATCAGTGACAATAAAATTGTATTAAAAGCAGAAATAGGTAATGACTTGCAGTGGAATCCGTAACGTGTGTTTCACCCCAATTTGAACTTGTCAGCTGGATGAATTAAATTCATTCTAGAAGAAGTGACCTAGATGAAAAACTCTCTTCTTCTTTGATAGTATCATCTTTTGAAGATGTACAATCGCATTTATGAGTACGTCTCTTCTAGAAATTATAAAACCTTATTATTCTTCAAACCATTATATTCAATTAATTGAGATCGCTTGATAGTTTTTACTTACTTTAACTAAATACGCAACAATTTCTTATTTTATAGGCAAAGATAGATGATGGCTAGCAGTGAAATTCAGGGCACACGTCTCATCCTATTTGGGAGTCATCAGCTGGATGTTAATGTTGACCTCGGGACTCGAACCCAATACCGTTCGCTCTAAACGCTATCTCGTTATCTACTTAGCTACTGAGTCCAAATAGCCACTACCTCATACAATAAGGCAACGTTTTAATTCATTTTTGTATTGTTTATTTAAATCTTCCCATTAATGTTAAGGATTGTAATTGATCAGTCTCTTATTGACAGATTGTGCAAAGATTAAAACAAACAATACAAAAATGAAATAATTCTTTATTTTATTACAGACTATTCATACCTGATATATGTGGTATTTTTATTGTTAGTTATGAATGGTTCTTTTTTTCATTGTTAACATTCATGACAGAATTAAACCAGATTCTATTGTTTAGCCAATAGTTCAAAATGTAATCAACTTTAAGTTAGAAGTAATATCAAAGCATAAAAAATCTATATACAAACTAAGAACTGATCAACTATGACGTTCTGATTATTGATAGTACGAAAATATCAGTACTGGAGTATAACTATAAACCATCTACAACATGTCAAATCGTAATAATCTTTTTTTCTCGACTTACTACTTATTACTGATTTATTTAATATTATATTCATAAATAAATGGTTATTTATAGCTACTCTACGAACCGCCAACTTACGTCACCTATGGTGAAGGCGAGTTATCCGTCTATCAATTAAAGGACGAGTATACTGCGCAGCAGTTTGTTCTGTTCTACTTTACGGCTGCAAAACATGGCTATTACGAGAAGAAGATACTCGTAAGCTACTAGTATTTGACCACAGATGCCTTAGAAATATTGCTCGCATCTGCTAGGATCACCAGGTAAGCAATAATGAGGTTAAACACAGGGTATTAGGGAATGATGGTAAATCAGTTGATGAGGTTGTGAATCTCCATCGACTGAGATGGTTGGGCCATGTGTTATGTATGCCTGAACACCGATTACCACGACGTGAAATGCTAACCGGTGTTGAAGACGGATGGAAGAAAATTGGGGGCGGCCAAACCAAAACGTGGCATCAGTGCTTGAAGTCACTAACTTCTAGTCTCAGCCATGTTGGCAGATACAGACTATTTGGTTGGGATCCGCATGACTATCGTAACCGATGGTTGGAGACTCTGGATGATACGGCTCAGAATCGACCACAATGGCGTCGGTGTATATGTGGCAAGCCCATTTGGCTACTGTATCATTTATCTAGTCATTGTAACTCAGACTCAATTCACTATGTTAATTTCGGTGTGTATGATCGAAAGTATGTCTGTACATTAACGCTTAAGCTATCTTCCTATTAGTCTCAATGTTCAGATAATCGATCATCTATCCACACCCGATTAACTCTCAAATATATATGGATTTTTAACAGGCTCACACACACTCACTCTGTTTCATCGTGTGCTTGCTCACCGTACGCTTGTGGATTATTATTATTCATTATCAATAAACTATCTCTATAACTGGTGTTCAGGCTTTTTAATAATCTCGAGTAAATTCGCAATTCTACTAGGAGATTAAGCCTACCAAAAATACTCAGTTACAGGATATTATTATTTGGAGTCAGATATTGAGGACATTAGCCTCAACATATACATTGTCTGTCTTCCTTTAAACTATGAGAGTAAAATCGCTTCATATCCTTCTTTCTACGAACTAATTCTTTCTTCCTGTACTATGTCCATATATGCAATCTTTCTTTTGTATATTACCACCACTGAATTAACCACTTCTATGAATTCGGTGTTCATCTTGTTGTGTTAATGAGGTGTGGTAACTTTGATCGATGCATATATGTGCCTCGCCCTACGTTGTAGCTGATTGGCTGACTCCACGAATCAGCACATTTGTTGACATGACACCCTATACACGTAAGTATATGGTAGTGGTAATAATATTAGTAATAATAATAATATCGGAATTAGAATGAAATCCCTATTTTAACTGAAATTGTGATAACGATGACACTGATTGGAAAATTGTAACAGAAACGGGGTCATAATTTGAAAAGAATCCTATTTATTTATAACAAAATTTAATGTATAAATGACGAGAGTAAATCTTAGCGTAATTGATGTAAGTTCATTATCTACAAATATAATGATATTTGTCTTCTAAAAATATTTTTAATCATAAACTCTTGACTGTAGATTACTGGATACCCAATACTTCCGTTTTATATCAAGTAAGAAATATTCAAAAGATATTAAGATTAAGATACTCTGATGAAAAAGATGTTATGAATAGCTTTTTGATAAACATCTGTTTACGGAATGGATTCTTTTTGATGGAGTTTTGTTCTCTGAGCTGGATGGTTTGGTCGTGGAGCTTTCATCGTTCTTCTGAACGATATCATCAGCACAAACTTCAGATAGAAGTGAAGTGTTCGAATTTCGAATTTCACAGCTTGTTCTGTATACCTCGACGTTGATTGGTTCTTACTGACCCTAAATTTTTCCCCGTTTACTTCTTTCTTTTGGTTGTGTCTCCCAATTAATTGAAAGCCAATTAGAAGTTATACATCAAGGATTGACATTAGTTAGACAACCATCAAAACCGGAAAACATACTGAATAACTCTTTATTATAAGTATGAAACATTTCAGCAGTGCCCATACACTGCACAATCGATGATTGAACCCAGGACATTCAGGCCTTGCAGCAAGTACTTAACCGGAGTTCATGTGAGAAGCCCTGACCAGTTAACTGTAACCATACTGACCGTTGGTAGATTTTATCAATGTCAACGGATGTTGGCTCCTAAATATCGCCAAACAAATGAAATAGGAAATGTATTCCAGTGAATATCAATCAATTGGCCTAAAACGTTGGAAGCTTCTCACGTAACCTTAAACTCTAGGGTCTCATCACCGATGAATTCATGGATACTCGTTAGTAAGGACTTCCATACTAGCTCACAAAAGCTTTCCAGTGCTTCCTGGTTTCTATAACTATCTGAATTAGTTCAATTCGTGACCTTAATGACAAAACATTACACAAAGTAACTTTGTCAGCATCAAATAGAAACGAAAAGTGAGAATAACATCTGCGAAATGAAGACTATACAATAAATGACAATCAAACTAATATCACAAACCTGAACAAGTGGGATCCAGTATAAACCAATATTGTAGATACTATAGAATAAAAATCCGATCACATTCAACACAGCAAAGTCGAAATTGAATCCAACCACACTACAACAGAAAACAAAATAATTATTTATCCAATAATTTAACGAGATATTGCTTGAAGAAATCAAATTTTACAGCTTAATTTCATTGATTACAATACTTCCTGAATTGCATATAAAAAAATACATTACATTATATCCCACTAGAGAATTCACAAAGAGAGACGATTTACCGATAATTTTATAATCATTCCCAGTAACATAATAGGATTATAATACTAATTTGGTGTGCGCTGCTTATGTTTACATATATAAATAGTATGTAGCAGTAATTGGAAGTGGAATGCCTGCCGGAACAAGACTGAATTGAAGAGAATAGAAGAATGAGCGGAAATCAATTGGAATAACAACAGATTTGGGAGAATCATGCAGTATGTAAAAGACAACTGGAGTAAGAAATAGAAATAATGCACCTAATATATGATTTTTTATTTCACAAAGGCACTGTGCAAATTTATATTGAACAGTAAATTTGCTTTTCACACCTGTGCTCTTCTTCATTATACAAGTACCCTGAAAGGATCAGTTTATTTAAAATACGTGCCTAGTAAATCATAGATCAGAAGTTCTTGAATGATGACTTTTAATTGAGATTTTCGGTTATTTATTACAAAATTATCAGTTTGACAAATAAAAATGAAGGAACAGAAATGAGATGTATCTAAATTCTAAAGTATTCATATGGTTTTTGTATTGAGGAAAGTGTTCCTTATCAGGTTTCGATGACCTTTGTTTGTATGTTCTAGTTAAGATATAAATGTTTTCACAAATTACTGTCAGATTTATGAAATTGTAATGTCTATGCGTTTGTTATTTGTCGTTTTGTATACTTTCGTTCTTTGGAAAGTGGTCCATCTTGAAAATGCAAGTGAAGTTTATTTCGAACCAAAGTCAGTTCATCTTCAGTCAGGTGGATTTAGAAAAATATACATAGGATTAAAGTAGGTTATAAATTTACTTCGCATGATGGGTTTTTATCATATACCTCATATCTGTTTGTCTCTCATGACATTTATGTGCTCAGCGAATTGAAGTTTTTAGAGGAAATATCCAGTTTTGACATAGTATTGTTCAGCTACAAGAGGTTGCTTTCTAAACGGTATTTATGATTAATGTGACGTTAGATTGTGAACCGACGAATATGATATACAATACATATCGGACTCACCAGATTTTGCAGGAGAGCGCAGCCAAACTAGATGTTGTGGCCCTAGTTTTAATATCACAAGAAGACTTTACAAGTCATCATCCAATGTTTTTTTATTCCTCATGACTATGATATCCCGTAGTGTCCGTGTTATTCTATAATTTTCTATTCGAAAATTTAGTGTTAGATCATCTTGAGGCTAAGCCTTGATAAATGTAATGATTCTGTTCTATCTGAATAAAATCCCAATGTGAATAAGGTAGTTTAGGTTAAATTTATATTCATTTAATAACATTCTGCTTATTGAACTATTATGAAATTAACTGAAATTAACCAGAATTTAAAAGAAACAAATGCCTATGCAGACGTATAATTTCCTGCAGATACATATCATATGATACTTTTACATTATCTATTTCAACGATCATGATGCAGTTTTTGAGGTACGTTATTCAGAAAAACGAAATGTATAATCAACGTAATAAATTTTGCGCAAGTCTATTTACCTTCTTCTTATAGTGTTGAATGAGCTTAGATGAATATTTGGATTTGGATTTGTTACAAACGATTTACAGAGTATGGTTCATTCATGTGGATAAGTAGATTCTTTTAGGTTGCTGTAGTAGTAAATAAGTGACATACAAATTGTTAAATATAAGTTTTTTAGAAGTTACTACACAGGAATGCAATTTTCTAATGAATGTTCTTTTTCGATATATGCCCAATTTAAAAGGATAGTAAGTATTGATATTATCACCAAGGCTTGATTTGATAATTTCAAATAAATTTAGCATTGGTGTAGATTGTTAAGGATAAAAATAATGATATATTTATTATATCCTAATGAGTATAAAACAAAAATTCTTTTAACGTTTTATGATGTGGTGTAGATCATTTATTTAGAGAATGAATTATTTTCATAGTCGAATTCATGAGTCAATCTAAGTTGGACGACCACTGAAAACCTAAAAATACTGGATGGCTGTTTTGTTCTTATATGCGCACTCCTATGCAGTGCACATCCACAACCCCACAAGTGTGACTAAGACCCAGGACCTCCTGTCTTTCGCAAACGCCTAACCTCAAGATCACAGAGCCGGCATCTTACGGTATTAATGTCTAACTTCAATCGGTCCATGAAGTGTTGTGCAATCCTTCATCCACTGTCTGAAGTGGATAGTTGTCTCACACCCTACACGGATTAAACTCAACCGGTCACAAATTTTGACTAAAACTTCAGGAGTTACATCTTGAATCTAGTCACTAGTGACCACATGATTGTTATCAGTATAGGGATATTAATACCGTTGTATCCCGACCCACTGGACTTGAGATTAAGCGTTCGCTCGTGATGCCTAAGGTTCTGGACTCGAAACCCTCTTGCGGGATCGTGGATGTATACTGCTGAAGAGTCCTATACTAGGGCGAAACGACCGTTCAGTGCTTTCAGTGGTAGTCTAACTTAGATCGACTCATAAATTTAACTGTAAAAATACTACAATCTCCACAAATCCCCACACAAATAAATTATTTCTAATTATTAGTAATAATTATTTATGATTGCAAATATGTAATAATGATAATTATGGTTAAATGGGCTTCCTATTTAAGTGTAGATTGTATAGTTTTGCTTACAATCTGACTAATGCTTTGTTTAACTTCACTAGCAAACACAAGGATGACAAAGTGAACATTTTGTAAAAATTATAACCGAAATACTATTTTACCGTGCAACTGCCAGTTCTATTAATTTAATTAAGTAGATTTAAGAATAAAACTATTCACACTTTGAATGACTGTGGATTTTCCTGTTCAGTCAGCTAAAAATTTCATAGTAAATAGTAACACTCAAAATCCATGCTACTCTCATAAAAAAACTGGCTACGTGATAACTCAATTGGAAATAAATTGTTTAAATAGTAAAGTCCAAATATTCTTATGCAGAATTCATACTTAGATGATCTGCTCACCGAAATTAAATATAACCATATGAAACCCATCAGTTACCTTTTTCGTCTACAGTTCAAAAAGAACTGAGGGTAGAATGAAACTGTCCAAGCGGCAAAATAAATCCAGCCAATCACAATTTGAAATGTATTTAACCAATGAAAATGCACCACAGTTACAGAAAAAATAGGTTTACCTGAGCTATAAGATAAAATCAAATGATTAGATAAAATATACATATAAACGCTTGAGTATTTGATACGTTTAATACCACAACTGTTAACTCTGTAATGACAAAAAGTGACTTTTCATCCTCATTTTAAACATTCTATATAGAGACATTTGTACTGACCACTTTATGCAAATTCGTAATTTTGCATATAACCCTAAAAGTCGTCGACTATGATTAGCTCGTTGCTATACTAGACTTTTACGTAATTATTTTTATTAGACAAAATCAGAGCCAGTATTCTTAAATTTTACAGTCACTTGGCCATTTTAAGAAATATCGGTCAGTATAGTCTGAATCAATTTAATGAGGCATTTTCAAATCAAATGAGTGTGATACAAAACGATTATGTTAATAAATAAATAATACTCTTTTTTCATTTGTTAACAACTGATTTGAAAGTTATTTGTTGATAAACAAACTTAAATAAAAAGCTCTTCTACATATCAACCAACTGAACATAGCACTATTTATATTAAAATATTCAGTTGCTCTTGATTAATTTTATTTCAAGAAGTGACTACAGCGTTCATTTGAACACCATAGGCTTAATGAAAACGGTGGAAAATACTCAATTATTTTTTATGTATACCTTAAGAGTTTTTCTAAATGATCCCGTGTAAAAGTAACTTGTTTTAATGAAAATACGTAAACACAAACTGAGCATGCACCTACTTCACAATGTTTACGTTTGGAGCAGGCTTTATTCCCAAGTATATATAACCAGGTGTTTTTGCAAAAACGGTGAAATTCGAAGGTTCCGATTGCATCTTTCTTATGGTTACGTTATTAACGGGCCGAATAACAGAATGATTTGGTTCTTTTAGTGAAATTACAGAGCCATTTCGGTCCCAATATTGAAACTCAATAAAAATATCATGTTCTGCTGTACCCCTGAACATTGTTTACGAAAAATAAAAAAATACTGATAATAACAAACGGAAATAATTAAAATTAACAAATAGCAAAAATCAGCATTTCATTAAATAGTTCAAAAACAAGTATTATTTATCTGACTAATCAGTTATCACGTCAGTATTCTCTTTACACTTTACTAACTGATAATTAGACAGTAAATGATGTCATACGTTAAAGTCATCAGTCGTTAGTCGTACATTAAGCTCGCTTCTATACGTAAACTAGTTCCTACTCAAGTCACAGTTATAAAAAGGGCAGAAAGTCTAGTTTGGTATGAAAGCCATTTAAGCAAAACCTAACACCTGACCAAACTCATTCACTTCGACACTGAACTTAAATGTACTTTCTTATAACACTGCAAGTACGTAAGCCTTAAATTGTAATGATTTATTTGATCAGACTGGCTAATTAATACAAGGACGTAAATTTCCATGTACATCTTAACGCACTATCCGAAGCTAAACCACTTCTATGTAAAACAATCTGTCACCGCTTGAATTCTGAATACAAAGCCTTTTGCAGCTAATGATGTTGTTAAATTATAACAATGTTTTAAAAGCCAAATTTTATGTTGGATATTACTAAAGTCAGTTTTATTCGTGGACGTTTTGCAAAAGTTTGCTTTATTAACAAGTTGAAAAGGAAATTCGAAAATTCAGCAGCACTGTCTAATGATGACCGAGTTAATTTGCAATCATTGCTCAAATACTAGTGAAGTATAGAATGTTAGTCCATACAAAACCTTTTTCATTTGTCTAAACTACCATATTCACATTGGGATTTTATTCAGATAGAACAGAATCATTACATTTATCAAGGCTTAGCCTCAAGATGATCTAACACTAAATTTTCGAATAGAAAATTATAGAATAACACGGACACTACGGGATATCATAGTCATGAGGAATAAAAAAACATTGGATGATGACTTGTAAAGTCTTCTTGTGATATTAAAACTAGGGCCACAACATCTAGTTTGGCTGCGCTCTCCTGCAAAATCTGGTGAGTCCGATATGTATTGTATATCATATTCGTCGGTTCACAATCTAACGTCACATTAATCATAAATACCGTTTAGAAAGCAACCTCTTGTAGCTGAACAATACTATGTCAAAACTGGATATTTCCTCTAAAAACTTCAATTCGCTGAGCACATAAATGTCATGAGAGACAAACAGATATGAGGTATATGATAAAAACCCATCATGCGAAGTAAATTTATAACCTACTTTAATCCTATGTATATTTTTCTAAATCCACCTGACTGAAGATGAACTGACTTTGGTTCGAAATAAACTTCACTTGCATTTTCAAGATGGACCACTTTCCAAAGAACGAAAGTATACAAAACGACAAATAACAAACGCATAGACATTACAATTTCATAAATCTGACAGTAATTTGTGAAAACATTTATATCTTAACTAGAACATACAAACAAAGGTCATCGAAACCTGATAAGGAACACTTTCCTCAATACAAAAACCATATGAATACTTTAGAATTTAGATACATCTCATTTCTGTTCCTTCATTTTTATTTGTCAAACTGATGATTTCTCGGAACAAAGTTAATGAAATCACGCAAAAATACAACTATATGGAGCTGCATGCTTTAACAACTCTTTAGGACAATATACAGGGTATCAGATAACTGGATATAATCTTGTAGATGTTCCGTTTTGTCTTCCTAACTTGTCGTTCTTAAATCCCGAAAGTAATTTTACGTCATACCTACAGTCACTATTGCATATTGCTTTGTTTGAATTCTTGAGAATGCCACTCGGATTGCAGACACATTGCGCACGCACCCAAATGTTTTACGAATGAGGTCACTAAGGCCTAGATTTTGCATTCCTGTATGTTGACTATATAATGATAGCTAGCAGTTCACTCTACGGCCACATGGATTACTTACATCAACGATTCGATATTTGTTATTGTTATCAAAACACCCAAATGCATTTTGTGCGTCGAGAGCTTGAACATTTTTGGGCCACCTGACCAAAAAATATGTAATCAGACCATTAGATGAAAAAATTTTAGCCATTGAAATTTACCCAGAACCAGATTCACTGAATAAACTTCGACATTTCTTCGCGATGATTAATTTTTATCGCCGTTTTACTCTACACACAGACTTTAATGGAAGTGTTAAAAAGTAAAGTCGAAAAGTTCATCTTATCTTTCAGAGCGAAAGATGCAATTTACGTTGCTAAAAAGGCAACTACTCCCACAACCATACTGACCTACCTAAGACCTGACCCGAAGGGAACACTAATTTTATGTTCTGACGCGTCTCAGAGAGTGGCAGGTATAGCAGTACAACAATAAATAAATAATGAAACTAAAGCGCTTCCTTTATTTTTAAAGGAACTGGAACCAATTCAAACGCGATACAGCACTTTCAGTAGAGAATTATCGGCTATATACTTAGCAGTTAAACATTTTTAACATTTACTTCAAGGCAGACATTTCGTGATACTCACCAATCACACACCTTTGACTTATACATTTATTATGAAAAGCGAACTTTGTTCCCCCAAAGAAATGAGAAAATTACATAACATTTTCCAGTTATCGACTACATACAGTTCATAAAAACTGAATCGAATATTATGGCAAATAGGCTATCACTTCTCATTACTGGTGCTATTCGCCCCACCAGTGAAGCAGAATTAATGAACATTGCGAGCTTACAGGCTGATGATTCTGATCTCTTTGCGTGTAAACAGAATTCAATTCTAGGGGTAAACAGTGTTCCAATACCACATTCCGATTTTACTGAAAGTTGTGATAATGTAGCAGTATTGGTTCCTAACCACACTATCTTTAATGCTGCGCAATAATTGCTGAGAAAATTCGCATTCAACATATAACACCTAGAGAAGGTCAATATGTTGGATTTGAGAAAGCTTGTTCGGTGTTGGATTGCTCAACCCTGCAGGCGTGGTCATTCAGTGTAACTAATCCCTATTCATGTCAGGCATATTATTCTATCCCTAGACCAAATATGTCCTTCAGAAGTGCTAAACATTATAATGTTGATTGTCACAATACAATGAGCCAGTATAAACAATGATGAGACTTCCAAGTAAGATCTTATAGGTTGGGAAGACACATCATGACAAATCTACAATTTTGGGATTAGGTCCGTTGTTCTAGTACCAAAAATAAATGTACTAATACTGGCCTAGACCATAATTTCATAATACTCCGACAGGAAAACACATTTTTTATGTCAATAGTGTACAGGAAGAGCGTTCTTGATCGTCTTCACCCACTATCTCATTCAGGAGTCCGTTCTCTCGAGAGACTGGCCTCAGAAAGATTTGTTTTGCCGAAAATTAACCCGGATATAAAGCAGTGAACCAGAAACTGCTTTCAATATCGGTGCAGCGAAATTCTTAAGTCAATAATTACATCACCGCCAATATTCAGTATACCCCATCCTTGTTTTCAGCATATTCATTTCGATTTAGTTGGTTCTTTGGTTTCATATGACGGTCTTACTTACATCTTTACTGTAGAAGACTGTTTTGTCAGGTGGCCAATAGAGTGCCCGGTAAAAGACATCTCAACAGAAAATATTGCTGCCGTATCCCTAGAGAGATATACCTTCTACGGTTACTTTCGTCAGAGGTTTACAGTTCAATCGAACCTCTCTAGTGAATTTACACTCATTTTCCACACCCATCACCTCAATACAACAGCATGTCATTTAGCAGACAATGGAGTAGTCGAACGATTCCACGGAAAACTGAAAAGCCCGCTGATGGCACAGCCTGGTGTAACTAGATGGAGGAAATACATACTTTTGAATTCGCTGAGCAAACTCTCTACTATCTAAGAAGTCTTTCAGTGTTTACTAGCAACCGATGGTGCTAATGTCACATCTTCGCAAATTTAGTTCTTAATTCTATTACTTTACTCGTCTTAAAAACGATTCGTAAAGGAAGACAGTTACACATGTAGAATTTTCGTATACTTCGTTATTATTACTGCTCTAATAATAGACATCTGACTACCTAATCTATAGGATCTTACGTGGAAGTCACATCATTGTCTACACTGACTTATCATAAAAATCACCAATATATGATGGAGAAGACAGTTAGATCAGAGATAGAACAATATTTTTAATATTAATAAAGGAGATAAGTTACACAAAAATGACTACGCCTGCAAGGCTGAGTCATGCCATCTGATTGATCGAATTATTGTTCTCGTGTTCTCTATAGTTAACTTCCTCTTTGTCTTGATTGTTGAATAAAAGACTTTTCGGTTATTATATGCTTGGCTTCAAAGGTTGCGTGGTTAAGGTCCAATGCCACTACACTACTCTCCCACCAGAATCAACGTGACGTTGAGTTGCCACCGAATTGAGTGGGATTGTCGCGTGTTGAAGGTTACCAAAAGAATAACAAGAATCCTCCGGGTATAAATAAGCTGAAAGGTAAATCAGAAAAAGGAGGCAGTAACTGGTCGAGAAATGCATATAGTAATTTCAAAATGTTTGGTTTTATTCTTAGCACGCGGAAACTAGAAATTCACGTCATTATTTAGGATTTGAGCAAAGTGGAATTATAATGATTAAAAATGATTTCCTGTTATTTTAATAAGTCTCATTAAAATGCATAGTTAAACACTTGGTTAATGGCTCAAGTTGTAGGCGGTATAAGTAATTTGTGCCTAGAAATTGTAGAATGATCAGTGTTATAGAAGTGTTGATATTGGTATTATTTTTAGTATTGATTAGGTAGTCAGTTAACGTTCATATTCGTATGATATCCGTACAAGTTGATTTTTATTTGCATCTGCATTAGTAGACCGACTGAGAAAACAAAAGTATAACCATGGAGATGAAAAATTCCAACTAGTGTTTCAGTTAGTATTTTTAGGTTTGATACGGTTTATTTCATTACTAGGAGATTTTTTCGACATCATTATTGCTTAACCGTGACAGAACTTAGTAATGATACTTATACATATGAATGGTTTTCAAAGATTCTTTTAAGTAAAAATAGTGGTAATTTTGTGCATTTTGGACGGATAGCTAAAAACAATTCGTTAAACATGAGTGTATTCGTGAGGTAGATGCCCTAGACTCAATGTTATTTGTATTCATATCTACCGGCTGATGTAGCATACAAGTTAGTTGCAAGTACCGAGTTTCGCATAAGTAAAAAAACAACTTGTTCGAAATAGAGTGATTAAAAATTGTTGAAATCGACAAAGCCCGTGTGCCACAAACATGGGTGATGTAGTGTTGCACGATGCCTCCGGCTAAATAAATCTTTACAGTGAGTGATTCTCATATGATTATCAGAAAGAACATAAGTGGTAACCAAGGGGAGCACAACTCAGAACTTATGTATACGATAATGGCTTGGACCTTAGTCAGTGATAAGTTAAATGCAACAGTGTTTTCAGTTTGCAGAAGACTTGCTCAACTGCTTATACTGATGACTTGCATGCATGATTATGTTGCCAAACCTCAAATTAGACTGACAATGGTTTAAGATACCTACTGAGTAAGCAACCGATAGAGGAATATTCTGTAATCATCTGTAATGGATGAAGACAATGAGAAAACAACACTGAAAAAAGAGTCATTGTTAGTGTTTGGAGCTTGAAGTTCTGGGTTCGGGTCTCACTGTGAACATCAGCAACGGTATTTAGGTATATCCATACAACGAGTCGCAAATAGGACAAAAACGGGACTCATCGACGTTTCTTACATAACTAATTAATTTATAAATTAGTCACTAACCTGGTCGAAATAATATAATTTTGTTAAACTCTTCATATTTCCAATACATGACATTTATATATACAACTTCAATTCTTCTCAATAACTTTCATTTTATACGTTGGGTAAGCATAGTACTGATGAAAATCTTATTTATAATTCTTATACCCTAAGTTTAAGTGTCTTCAGACGTTTAAAAGTTAACTGATTAAAAATTAATGGTTTTAATACGTAAATCTCTAAGTGAATTTGGATGAAGTAGTCACGTCATCACTGACAAAAATAAAAATTGACCACATTAATTAGTATTTTTAAATGAACATCTCTTACTAGAGTTCTAAAAATATGATCTGTTATGCCAACTTTCTAATATTTATTATTCCAAATACTTATTATCCCTTATTCAGAATATGACAATGTTGAGATAAGTTTTCTTTACTTGTTACCCACCAACCTTTACCATGGTTCAATTCAATGCAATTAGCCAGTTACAATATGAATAAATTTGCATAATATACGTAGTAATAATAATAGGAGACATATTTCTGATCACGTATACATATGCAGATACATATATATCCCTGCATTCCTGAAACGGCTCATGCAGTTTAACAAACATATTCAGACGATTGGTCAATCCAATAAATTGTTTGACAAATTGTGGTCCAGTTTACATTGTCAACGAGTATGGTACATATACACTCATTTGGTCAATAAAATTTATGTGTAAGGCAGTTTAATAGTACGTATTTATAAAGAATAAGAAAATGGGAAATGGATCTAGTATACCTTCTACAGGAATTAATATCCATAGTAAAATTACAAAGAAACTTTTTGAAACTGGTAAATCAAAACTACATCAATCTTGCCAATCCTTTAAACAGTTCACACGTAATTCAGAAGACAATAGTAATGATATTAACGATGAAAAATGGGTTAATTCAATTGATCAAACCATAAAAAATTATCAAGTCGAAAGTTTCTATTACGATGAAGATTATCTAGATAAAGTTGAAGACGATGATAATGAAGAACGTAAGTCTACATAGATTGAGTTTATAAATTGATTAATTCTTTTAAATGCATTTTAAAAGTGCACAAAATTGATATGATCATCTGAATCAATGTAAAACTGAGAATGTTTCACATAATGGTTGTCATGTATAAATATATTTTCAAATTGATAAATTACCTCGGAAATTTCAATTTTTGCACTAAGTATAAAAGACAAACCTCCTTTAGAAATTTCTTATACTAAAAACTGAAGCACAATATAAAATTCGCATACTTATCACTTGTTAGAAGAAGAGTGTTTGTTATACAATGGAAGTGATTATCATTGAGAGGTGGTCGTTAAATATATAAGAGAAGAGGCACATGAATAACTTCCCAAATAACTATATATACATATATACAAGATCACTTTTACAATCTAACCCAAAGATGTAGCTTAGCAATAAGAATCAAAGATCCAATACACAAGAAGGAACAGCAGGGTTGTGTTTATGAAATCAAATGTAGTGACTGTAATCCAATGTATGTGGGTGAAACATCAAGGCAATCGAATGTGAGGATGAAAGAACACAAACTATGCTTAAAGCCCATTCCTAAAACCTCAGATGATGTAGGAAAATTTAAGAACGAATCAGCGATAGCATTACATCCGATAGAATCGAGTCATACAATTGATTTCGATGGCACAAGAATCCTTTGAAAAGGGTTTAATTCTTACAAAGACCGACCAACAGCTGAAGCCCTACACATATGGGCAAAATCCAAACAGTATTAATAGGTAGACCTAAACTCCTTATTCCATTTTGTCTATCTCCTATTATCTGAATAACAGAAATTAAATTCAACGATTCTATTCAGTTATTTATTCTGAATATGTTAAACAAATAACTGGAATATTAAAATAACATAAACATTCATTTGCAAATACATTCTTCTTCTTTGAATTCATTCGTTTATCTTGTTTATTTATGTTCATTTTATGTATGCTGTGACATTTTTGATTCATATCATACATATAAATGAGAACTTTCGTCTAAATTTGAGCGAATAGTTTCACAATATTTGGGCGCCGAGTTAATTTGAGAGATTAAAAAGAAGAATATATTTGTAAAATCTCAGCGAATGAATATATTTTCCTTGAAAAAGCTTGGACCAGATTGCCAGGCCAAACGTTGGATTTACTTAAAATTCATTCACTGAGATTTTACAAATATATTCTTCTTTTTAATACATATAAATTGTATAAATTGTATGTTTCCTTAAAATTCACCGACCAGAGACAATATATAATGAATGAAATTTCTTCTCACTTACGTATACACACAATCTGCTATCTTAACACTTCGTTTCACACCACATGTCTCTTACACACTAATGTGAATACCTACTTTAAACATTGATAATGTTGATTGTATGACTTATTCAGTATACAGTCAACCGGAAAACCGTCTACCTATTTATATTCGATAATTTTGATGTTTGATTATATTTCCTTGAAATAGTTTGGACCAGATTGTTAGACGAAACATTGGATTTACTTCAAGATTCATACGCTGAGATTTTACAGATACATTCTCCCTCTTTTTGATGTCTGACATCAACTCGGCGCCCAAATACTGTGAAACTATTCTATCAAATTTAGGCGAAAGTTCTTATTTATATATACATATATTTATTACGAGATTTTAATATGGATGTCGAGTTAATGCTTACTGGTTGATTCAACACAAAATACTGAAACTATTTATGAATTCAAGTTGTTAGAATAAATATTCTTTCACATAATTAACGATAGAAATTTATTGACTGAATAGACTATTTTGCTGGTAAAACACACTAGAACAACAATACTTGAACTCAGGTACATCCAACTGGTGAATTCTTAAGTAGAATGAAACATAATTCCTGAATTTCACTACTAGCCACCATCCAACTTTGCTTAAATCAACTAATATTATTCACAAATGTTTCAAAAATATTTCTTATGTATTCATTATTACAGATATAATAAATAATGAAACACAAAGTTTCAAATTGGAACAAAATAAACTTAAGGTAAACAATACCGTGGAAGGAGAGGAATCTTATGATACTTTAAATAACAATGATAATTCATGTGAGTATAAAGAAGCAAATGATTACAAACTATTTCTTCAATGTGATAAACAATTTGATGAAAGTCTAAAAGACAACATGAGTGAAAATTCGAATAAAACGATACTTAGCGACTTAAACAATAGTTGTACAATAGAATATTTCAAAACACTAGAATATCCAAGTATACTACAAAATGATTCATCTCTATCCACAACATCAATTGATTCACTTCATACTAAATCTATTTCGTATAATAAACAAAAATTTCAAGAACAACATAATACTACTAACATTCAAGATTCAATCAGTTGTTTAACATCTCCAATTGATAAATTTGAAATAGATTCCGTTCTAATGATTCAGTCATCCAATATAAATAATGGTCAATCACAATCAAACTTTACACCATTAGTTGATAATGTCCAAAGTTATTTAAATTCATTAAAACACAATGTATATGTACAATGTAATATGAATTGTGAACACTTGAACAAACTTCAGCACCAAGAAAATGAAGTTAATGATATAGACAAACATTTAAGTGTAAAATTCGAGGTATCCAAGTGGAGAACTATGAAAAATAAGAATAAATATTACGAAATAATGAAATTATCAGAAAAAATTCCTACTATCTCTATGAATAATAGTAAAATGATAGATTTTACAAAGCATGATAGAACTACTTGCTCAGAAATCAATCATTACAAAGAAGAATATTTATCCTTAAATAATGTCCAATTTGACCAAACATACCATGAAAAGTTTCAGCTGCAATCAGGTAATGATCCATTTGATCTAGATAAAACTAAACACATTTATAGAGAAAATGATTTCAATGAGGAATATAATAGACATGATCAAATTAATCATAGAAACTTAATGGATACACCTTTACAAAATAATGATGAATACGAAATTATGTCTTTTAATCATGAATTGAATTATCAATCAGAAGGACCAATTAGTATTGATATTAATAAAGATGGATATATCTATACACCAATTGTAATGGAAAAACTGGATAGCTCTACAATTAACACAACTGATACAATCCAATCAACTCAAACTGTAAAAAGATGTATGAAAACAACTAAATCATATTTTATTGGACAAGTTTTAACAAAAGATACTAGTGAAATTAAAATGAATAAATATATAGATAATAAAGATATGATCGAGAAAGATAATATCTTAGACAATTATAAAAAATCATTGTTAGTAGACAATGAACTTTCAAATCAATCCACTGTGACTAAAACAATTGGTGAATGTACCACCGAATTTCATAGGCCAATATATGTTCACGTAGTAAACAGTTTACATCATGACTAACATGATACATTTCAATTTCTAAATTTGGATGATATAGACCATATTAATGTATGTATTACTATCATCAATTCAAAAGAGTATACTATTACTTTAATATGATTGTTTATAATAATATACTCTAGATATTGCTAGGGTTGAAAACAGTAGTTTATATGATAATTTGCAACACAAAATAGGTTATCATAAGTCAACAGAAAAGTAACACATTCTATGAATATGAAATGAGGATTTTACGATTATGGTTAATTTTACCTAAGTATACACAGCGAATTCTTGACAGAATTTTCATGGATTCTAGTTCAGATAATTAGATAATTGTAGACATTTTAGTTTAGTTTTAGATTAGTATTAGAAGGGGTTTTGTGGAGACTGTAGTAATTTCAATAGTTGAGATCATGGGTCAATTGAAGCTAGACCACGATGGAAAGCCTGGAAGCACTGGATGGCCGTTTGGTCCTATTGTAGGACTCTTCAGCAGTGCTCATCCACGATCCCACCTCGCGAGATTCAAACCCAGGACCTATTGGTCTCGCACACGAACGGTTAACATCTAGACCGTTGAGCTGGCCGGCATCTTACGGTGTTAATATCCAACTTTAACTAATACACGAAATTGAGCGACAGATTCATTAAAGTCTTCAGTGAGTTACTATCTCACAAAAGACCCGGTTGAACTCCATTGATCACGGTTTGTCATTAGAACTCCAAAATATACCTCTTGAAGTCATTTACTAGTAAGCATACGTTGACTAGTATCAGAAGCGGCTTTGAGATAGCAAATATCTATGAGACATTTTTATCTGACTTCTAAACGTCAGTATAGGGAAAAAATAATGCACTTTACTTCTGACAGTCTATACATTTCTCACCAATATTGATTTAAAAAATACAGTGAAAAACTGTTGTTTTTCGACGCCTGTCCTAATTTTTTATTGACAAACAAGCTTCTAATATGCAAACACAACCTTCTATTTCAGTGAGAAAACTAAGAGTGAGTAGAAAGCTTTTACTGACTAACTCCAATCAAAATATATGAAAAAATTCATTGATATATATATATATATATATCACTCAGAAAATTATACTGCATTTCCCACCAATAGTGTATAAATATGCTCTCTTGGAAAGTCAAGAAACACCACGACCGATACTGTGTATTCACTAGCAACTCGTTCGTAGATCGGCCTTCAATTGATGTAACTGACTGGCATAGGCTATCATTAGTCGTAGTCTTTACAAATACCTACTTTCATCTTTCTAACATGATATCTTAACAGTCATGTCCTATGATTAATCCTTCTTATCCAAATGTCGATTTTAACAAACCTACTAGGATAAATTGGCTACTAACGAAGAAACACTTCCAGTTAATAACATATACCAACTGCTTTCTGGTTAAATAAATGGGTGCGATCAATTGACAAGAGGGCGGATTCGACGAGGATTAAAAGTTAAATTATTTGTACGGTCACTGAAATAAACCTGAATTTTATCCAACTTTAATCTATCAGGTCGAGCATACAAAAAAATTAAAAAATTAATGACTGGAAGTTACATTTTCCGTCGTAACTGGTAAATCGCAATGATACATGATGCCAAATAATCGATTAACTGAATGTATGGGTTTGGGACACCCTGACATTTTTGTCATAACTTGTGCGAACCTCTTCTCTTTGATTTCACCTCCGGAATTTATAAAGCTTCTCAGTAGGTTTTTAATAGTTCCCCGGGTAAACTAAAGAGTCGGGATAGACTGACCACTAGGTTGGTGTAGGCCAGACTAGGAGGTCATTGTTTGTTGTAGCTTTATGGTATGACGTCGAAATTTACGTGGTAGGACGATCATATTTTAGCTCTAGCGGAATAAGACTTTCACTCGAATGACACTAATTTGTTAAGTGAAATATAATCAGAGTCCACAAATTATAAAAATGCACAGATTCTAGCAACAACAGCTGGGTTGTTTAACCAATAGGAAATAGCCTGAGTAATTTAAAACTTACCATAGGTGAAGAACGGCAACATAAGAGGCAGATTATAAGAGAAAGTGAGATTAATTCCATAACGTCTCACCGAAAGAAGTTAGTTTATAATAACTTCCTGGAATATACAGCTTAATAAGCACTCGATAAAGATACTGACCCAAAGTTTGCAGGCAACGTAGCACTGCCACCACACACACATTTACAAGCTCAGACAGTGAATGTCAGCGTGTTGACAGCTTTGACAGTAGTAGGTCAAGCATTCACAAAGTAACTAAGACCTAATCAATTGTTGTGGTAAGGATCTGGAAGAACTGAAAGAATGTACGCAGCTGGGTCGCACCACTGATAAACAGCAAGGATCTGGTGCAGATATCAAGGCAAGAATTGACAAAGCAAAAGGAACATTTCTACAAGTAATGAGAACTATAAACTCAAAGCAACTATCACCTAAGATCAAAGCCAGAATGTGCGACAACAAAATTTAAACATTTTTGTTATGCGGAGCTGAAAAGTGAAGGATCGCCAACGTTCTCACCGATGATGCACAGATATTTATAAATTGTTGTCCATGTAAAATGAGTAGATATATTGTACAGAGTGATGATTTACTCTGGCAAAGAACAAACTAGCTGCCAATGGAAGAGAAATACATAAAAGACGATCGAAGTAGTTCAGACACACTTGGAAATCATCAAACTGCCTCACGACAAAACTGTGAAACAGAATTATCAAGAAACAAAAAAAGGAGGTGGGCCAAGGAACATTTGGCTCCGGGAATTAGAGCTAAACATTTGGACTACTTTAAGAGCTTGGTAACAACTGGAAAGGACTGCCCAAAACCAGCAATTTTTCGCAAGATCCCATAAAAAGGCCAATTAGTTCCCGGAAAGCTAAGTTTGGCGAAAAATTGATATAAATACGTAGTGGGTTTAGGAATAGTGAGTCCATTACCGGACAATAGGGAATTTAGTTTGAGCATGTTTGATGGTTGCACGCAATCGCAATTTCTCCAAACATTGCTCTACACCTGGAATAATACCGTCGAGTGGTTGGATTATCTTTACTATATTCTACAGACGAATAACATGACCGCAACAGAAAAGCATGTAGGTAAAAGCTTCATCTATTATCCACTAGCTAGTCACAATAATTTTGAATATACGTAGAATATCGTCCGTTGAAGACAAGTAAGCAAAAAATATGAGTAAACAGCAACTTTAACTCCATGTAACGGAGTCTATTGGAGAGAACAGATACATCGCTGCATGGGCCAATCCATGGTGTTCGGTTAATTGATACACGTTTGATCGTCCCTGATTTTGACGAGGATCGGTTAACTCTCCGTTATTTAGTTACCCGACTGACGGAAGATCTGCTTAGGGCTCAATGACATTGTAGAATTCGGTCTGAAGAATGTAAAAATGTGGTCTACTTCGGTGTTGTTACTGCTGTAATATTATTAGTAGTAGTAGTAGTAGATCTAATTGAGAAGTTGATTTGTCATTATTTGACTGCCTACAAGTTACGGTCCAGAAATATTCATTCAATAAATGTTAATTTTGTTAGCAGATTTCAGAATTTTTATCTAGAACGCTTGTTTAACTAACAACTACCTGATTATTTGGATATTATATCAGTGCAGTACGATATTTTGATGAGGTGACTTCATCATCTAACTATGTTAAGCGTCTTTATAGACAACTGATATGATAGCCTAATTCATGAACACGAATACACCAAAGATAATGAATATGATGTGTTTGATGGAAAATGTTTGAGACGGTTCAAATAATTGTTAAATTCAAATGGCATAGAAATGACATGATGCAACGCCTGTACAAGCCAAGCTAACATGTACTATGAGAAAGAGTATAAAATATAAAAAAACTTGACAGAAAAAATTTAAAAGTTTGGACATGACTTATGGAACTAGAGTTAAGAACACAGTGGGTATAATATAGAAATTTATTAAGTGGTTGCTGTAGTTTGCTTAGTAACATTCATAAATATGTAATAATGGTAATCAAAACTAAGGAGTTTCAAATTTATCTTGATTCTGATGTCGTTCAATTAAAACCAACACACGTTCTCACAGTAGTGTGTTGTCATTGAGAGTGGTTCATATGAAATAAATTTATTTAGTCTAAGCTAAAACATATACACGTTAAGAAGTATCAGAAACGTGTTCAACAGTCAAACTTCCTGGATTATTTTCGAAATTAAGATAATTCAATAGATTTCACGTATGGTAAGCCATTTGTGAAATATTACATGCAATACTGCAACTAAATCCTCGCTGCGTTATGATGTTAACCTTTTGCCATTCGTTCGATTCAGTACAAATCCAAGAGTCCAGTTAAATATGTGGCCATCACTGTATGAACTATCTAAAATGAGCTGGATATTGCGGAAGTTTCACAACTTAAACTCACCATAAGTTTTGGGATTATTGTCTTTGTTGTTTGGCAATGGAACTCGTAAACTGGAAATTAGGCAGACATTCATCTATGGAAAAATACTAAGGGATAGTTCATAGTTCAAAATAGATTAAGATGTCGAGTGAAGAAACATGATGGAGAATTAGATCCAGAGAGCTATTCAGTCCTCGCTTACAGTTATTGCTAGCCTATGTGCATTTATGTAATTTGAGGGCCATATTTGCTGGTGGTTGGTTTTAGCAAACCTGTTTCACTGAAGCATGTGAATACTTCTAAGAGCTGTTAATGATCCATAATAATTAATCATAAACATAGATGATTAGTTAATAATATCGATCGAGCTAGTACGCAATGAGTGTTAACCAACATTACAATACGATATTACACGTGAGTATTTACTCTATGGTTCACATACTTTATTACGATATTCTGTGATGTCGTGTTAAAATACATTTGGTTATCTCCACTGGTGTTCTCCTTCACTACAATGTGACTACCTAATCTGTAAGGTCTCACGTGCAAGTCCAGTCATTCTCTATATTGCTTCATCCTATCGTGACAATCAAAAACAAAATGTCTAGCGCCTCTGACGAACAAGTTTTAGTTGGGAAGAGGG